CAAAACTAAATGGAAATTCTAAAACTGAAAAAAACAAATACCTGAAACCATGAACTCAATCACTGGTTTAATACCAGATTAGACACCCTGAAAGAAAAATATCAGTGGACTAGAAGAGAGTTCAGAAGAAAGTACCCAGAATGAAGCATGAGTAACTAAAGGATACATCCAGAAAAAGAGTGTAAGATACAGTGTATGGTGAAATACAGAACATACATGTAATTGGAGTCAAAGGAGAGAAAAGATGATGGACAAAAGCAATATTTAAAGAGATAATGGCTGAGACTTTTCTGAAATTAATGAAAGACATCAAGTTAGATTCAAGTATCTCTATGAATCCAACCCAAAAGAAAACCACAGTGAGGCTCAGTAAAGTATAATTGCTGAAAACCAAAAACAAAGAGAAAATCTTGAAAGCAGTCAGAGGAAAAAGAGGTTCCTTTAGAAGAGGTAAGAAATAAGACAGAGATGGCCAAAACTATTAGAAAGGTGACAGGGGAAAGAAAAAAAGAAAAGAAAGGGAAGACAGGAAAAACATAGATTCCTAATGACAATGTTGAATTAACAGATCTCTACAATTCTTCTTAACTAAACAATAAATGTCTTTACAGTCCAAAGCACAGTAAGTCAGATGTTGATACAGCAGGAACTATTCATGATACAATGTTTAAGAGGAGTTCCAAAAGAAGCGATGGGAAAGAAAAGTGCTCAATATTTTAAGATATAATTAGTAAGGGTTTTCCTGAATTAAAGAAAGATATGTATCCTCAGACTGAAAACTGTGGGTACTGAGCATGAACACTGTGGCTACTGAGTAGGAGGAAAAAATATAAATGTATATATGTAAGTCTGCATATTCACCCTGATACAGAACAATAAAGCTGCAGAGGACGAAGGTATCAGGTAAAATCTTAAAGGCTACTAAAGAAAGGACAATCTACCTATAAAGGAAAAAAAATTAGACTCAACAGAAAACTTTGTTAGACAACTTCGACACAAACCCACAAAAGTAAGATAGAACAAAGAAATAAAATTGTAGGCCAACTTCACCTAGGAACATATATGCAAAGATCTTAAAATATCAGAACAGAATTCAGCATTGTATTTTACAAAATAATCACAATTAAGCAGAGTTCATCCAGAAATGCAAAGATAACTCAACATTAGAAAGTTAATTGATACGATAAACCACATTTTCATATGATTGATCTCAATAGATGCAGAAAAGTCATTCATAAAATTTAACACTTCTTCACAGTGAAAATCTGAGAAATTCAATAGGAAAGCCATCAAAAATATAAAGCAGCCCAGCCACTGTGGTTCAGTTGGCTGAGCATAGTACCCTGTACCAGGAGGTCAATGACTCAATTCCTAGTCAGAACACATGCCCAGGTTTCGGGCTCCATCCCCAGTAGGGGGGGCGTGTAGGAGGCAGCCAATCAATGTCCCCTTTCTCTCTCCCTCTCCTTTTCTCTGAAATCAACAAAAGCATACTATTATTTTTTTTAAAGTTTAAAACAAATAAACGAACAAACAAAACGAACAAAAAGCAAATGTCATACTTAATCGTGAGGCTTGAGAAGCACTCCAAAGAAAATCAGGACCAATACAAGAATGCTGGCTATTGATACTAGCTTATTTGTAAATAAGATTGTAAAAATGGAACACAAGAGAATTATAACCAAATCATCAGAATAAATTAAGTCTGAATTATGCTGGATATAATCCTTATTTTACAAAAGATGGGAAAGAACTTCATGGAGACAATTACAAAACATTATTTAAGACAAATAAGGTCAAAATTCTCCCCAAATGCACTTTGTACAATATTCACAGATGGAAAGACTTACTTGATCATTAAATAAAGTTCCAATAAAATATAAAGTTCCAATAAAAATCCCAATAAGTCTCTCAATAAAGGCTAAATGTAACAAAGGCAATTTTGAAGAATAGCAATGTGTGAAGGCTCTTGACATACCAAATATCAAAACTTATTATAAAGACAGTGTTGTGCTAGCATAAGAATAGACAGACCAATAGAACGTACCAGAAAGTGCCTCAAACAGAACCACACACTTAGGAAAACTTGACATGATATAGATGGTGTTATAAACTAGTATGGAACAGACGGATAGGTGGTACTGGGACAATTAATTATCCACATGGAAAGAAATTAGGTTCCCTATTTCACATGGATTTTGTACAACGAAGTCAATTCCAGGTGGATTAAAGACACATGTGAAAAGCAGAACATTTAAGAGAAAATAAAGAGAAAAATTTTCCTGATCTGAGGAGAAGAGATTTCTTAAACCAAGACACAAGAAGCACAAAGAATATGAACATTTTGGCTATATTAAAATTAAAAGTATCTGCACAACAAACATGAATATGAATGTAAAGAAGATAAACCATAGACTGAAAGATATTAAAACATACAAAGAAAACAGGATTAGTATGAACAATAAAGTACTCCTATTAATTGATAAGCAAAGATAAAGCCAATAGAAAATTGGGCAAAAAAAGAAAATTCAATAGAAAAGCTCAAATGGCTAATAAACATTAAAAAAAGATGCTCAATCTTACTACTAATCAGAGAAGTGTAAGTTAAAGTGAAATATCATTTCACATTCATTAGATTGGCAAATACAGTACTAAAAAAATAACATCATTGAAAGGGACCAAAATTTTGCTACCACAAAATAAGCCTTTTGGGATATTGATTTTAAGTTGGTGATTAAGGAACAAAAGACTCAGAAAGAAACTTTGACCTTCCCCCTAACTATCTAAAAGGAATTTTGATAGAGTATGTGCTCCAGGAAGGGAGGTATCATCATAGGTAATTATAGTTTAATGTAAACTAGTATGTAATATACAGGACGGAACCTAGCAACACTCGTATGTTCTAAGTCCTCTCAGTATCCTATTGTTAAAGATTTGGTAACATTTATTTACCAAACATTTGCTTTTCCATCTCCATGTGAATTGTCTTCTTGCCCTTTAAAGTCCTGAAGAACCCCCCGCCCCACCACTTCTTAGTCCAAAATGGCATATGAACCTCAACTGCCCAACGTGTATTTGGGTCTCATATTCTTACGGCACCCCCACATGTACATCCGTAATAAATTTTATACTTTTCTGCTATTAATCTGTCTCTGTTAATTGGATCATTAGCACAGCCAGAACTGAAAAAGGTTGGAGGAGTTAATTTTTTACACCCCCCACAGTATCAAGTGCTGGAAAGAATGTGGAAAAACAGAATACCTTGCTGGTGAAAAGCAAAAACTAATATACAACCACTCTGGGGAACAACTAGCAATAGTCAGTACTTGAAGATAAACATGCCCTTCCACCACGCAATTCCACTTACGACAGTGACACATTAGGAAACCCCTCGGAAATGTGAACAAGGCGAAAGGCGCAACAATGTTCACTGCAGCAGTTTTTAATACATCACAACTAATACTCTAACACCTACAACAGAGCAAATAAACAGTTTGCTTTTACATAACAGCAATTAAAATGAGCTACAGCTATATGTATGAAAAAGATAAACCTCAAAATAAATAATATTTACTGGAAGCACATTTTGCAAAATGATAGTTTGAACATATATATACACACATATATATGTAAATGCACACACAAACAAAAATACTGAAGTATAAAATAAAGTATAAAAGCTATTGGATACACTAAACACCAAACAGGCACAGTAGTTACTGCAGGAAACAGAATGGAAAAGCTTATCTGTTTCTCTAATTTTAATTTTTTTAAAATCTGAGGGGAATCTGGCAAAATATTATTTCTTTTAAATTTATTTCTTTTAAAATGTTATTTCTTTTAAATACACATCCAAGCATTATCTTACTCTCCATTGGTCTCTACGCGTTTAAAATAATTCACAAAGAGAAAAGAGTGGGGAAATGGTCAATTTTCCCTAAACAGAACTTTAACAGATGCAAGGACAAAACCTCTCTTCCAAAGAGCAGTCCAAATTTTCAGCAAGTCACATCACTCATAAAAAGGTAGTAGAAAGTGTCACCCCAGTTTAACAGCATAATTAAAGCTTATGACTTGTTAAGTATCTGTCATTATGAAGTAGTTGTTGTGTTCAAGCATCTTAGCATTAAATAAAAGATTACAAGATTTTTGAGCATAGGAGAAATACGTTCCAGTATGTTGGGGATTTTAATGTATTAGAATATGTGCCATTCCAGTTTCATCATCTGAATTAAGATGCCGAGGTCCACACTCAACACAAAACAAACAAGGTTGTGAAACTCTTTTCTTCTATTTTAACCTTTTTTTTGAGTTGTAAATCTATTCAATACTGATTTTTTTTTTTTTTTTTGGTTTTAAACAAAAAACACAGGCCTTAGAAAAATCACACACTATTTTGCACACAAAAGCCATCCGTAGGCCTTGGATTTAGAGCTCCCGCTTTCAGGTTGCTGCCTCAAATCTCTGCCCGAAACATCGCTGTTATTCTGGAAAACAACGCCAACTGTGTAACAGGCTTCGGTTCCAGTTGCGTAAACGCGACCTTTCGGGCTTTAACACAAAACCAGCCTCCTCGACAGGCTGTCCAAAGCTTGAGAGGGAATCTGCTCCCCGTCCAGCTGGGGCTGGGCAAATGTCCCTCTCCTCCGCCACAGATCAAAAGTCTATCGCTTTAAAGGGGGTCAAGCGGTACGGCCAGGGCGCCCCGCAAACAGAAAGCGGCAGGAAGCCGCCCCCTTTACTCCAAGCCCGGGGACCCAGAGAAGCTCCCAGCAGCTCCCTGGAGAACGTCGCATCGAGAGCCGAGGGGTCAGAAACTGCGGTCAGACACCGAAACTCCCCACGTACGCCCCCCTTCCCCGGCCCACCTCAACCCCCTCGAGGTTGGGGGCTGGTAGAGAGGGGGAGGGGAACCTCTCCGCCACAACGGCCTCAACCGCCCGGGGACGAGTCCCCGCTCCGGCCCACCACGCTCGCGGCCTGAAGCGTCCCACACTCACTGAAAAGCGGGGCCCGGTCCTGGCCCCGGCCCGGCCCCCGGAATCCGGCGGGTCTCCCAGGGTTTCGGGGGAGGCGGCGGCTGGGACGCCATCTCCTCCGCCTCCGCTCCGGCGCAGCTGAGCGCTGGGACTCTCCGGGCCCCGGCGCGCCCGCAGCAAGCTCGCCAGGCACGACGGGCGGAACGCCGAGCCCTCCACCCCGCCCAGCCCTGCGGTCAGGACGTGGCCTGTGGGGCTGTGCCAGCTGGGACCAGGGAATGGGAGGATGCCACTAACCCACGAGAGAGAAATGCTCTCTTTTTATTGGCAGTAGAAAAAATTTGCATTCTAAATCTCTTAGATAAGGTAGGGGCTCATCGACATTTCTGGCAGCGGCTACAATGTCTTAGATGTCGGAGTCCCTCTGAAGCGTCTCAGGGACTAGTCCGGTTGAGCCGAGACTTAAGTCCCACTCACTCCCACTCCCTCGGGAGAGGCGGGGCACGTGGCGGCAGTTCAGACAGTTTTGCTGATTTTTTTTTTTTTTTTTTTAATTCAAGGTACCACTAGGACTTTTGCAACCTGTAGAAAGAACTACCAAGAAATTCATCTGAAGGTCACATCAGCCTTCACATAATTTTCTGTAAAACTGAGNGTCCTCCCGAGAGGGGGCTGGTACTTTCGTTCTGAAGCTCTCGTTTCCTCGGGGAACAGAATTGCTAGACGCAGTAGGTGCTTTGTCTTTAGTCTTCCCCGTTTCCACTGAGAGCCAGAAGGGGTTAAATCTCAGGCTCCGGCTTCCTGGGAGAAGGTGCGGCGGGGAGGTCTGAGGTGAGGCGGTGCCGCCCGGGAGCCGGAGAGGCGTGGATGGAGGGGGTCCTTTCCTTCCTTCCGGCTTTGCTAACGAGGGGGGTGAGTGAGAAGTTTCTTGGACTTAACCGGAGCTGGGGGGGGG